AAGGGACCGGGGCCTTAACTGGCCCCCGGGCCGTAGGTTGCCGGTCCCTGGGTTAGAGGTATAAGACCCCCATGAAAGTGATAAAACCATAAGTAAACAAACATGTTTTCTTAACCTGAGAGAACACCTCTCTAGGAATCTCTTGGTCCTCCAGCACAATTCTGTGCCTAAAATCGGGCAAATGTTGACCACAGAATTACACGGGAGAACCTACAAATGCCTAGAGAAGAGTTTTCTCTAGGATTTCCCAAATCCTCCAGTGCAGGTTAACTTCTGGCAGAGTAACGCTGGAGGACCTAGAGATTTCTAGAAAGACCACAGAGAATTGTCTAATTAACGTTTTGTAAGCTGCTCTGAGAGCATTTCTAGAGAGCAAGGAATAATAATAATAATAATAATAATAATAATAATAATAATAATAATAAAATATCTGTAAAAGTCAAAGTCACAAATGTGGAAGGCCAACTGCACAAATGTTGTAGCATACACAGTTCTTTCAAAAATCTGATATTTTTTATCAATTCAGTTGTTACTCTGATTAAGTGCGGACGCTGACGTACTTTCCAATGCAATTTCTTTCTTTTCTTTTCTTTTCTTTTTCCTCTGGAAGAGATTTTTGTGTTTCATATCAGTAAATTTTGAATGTCTATTAGAACACTCTAACACCTTTCTTACTCTTTGCAGGATAATTTTTGCAGGATCATTTCATTTGGTCAAATATCACAACACAGAAATGTCAAAGCGAGCTGAGAAAACAACAGCACATGATGGAGCACATCTGAGGTTTTGGATTTAGAAAGCCAAATCCCTATAAAACCAGCATACATTCATAATTTTTTTATGACCCTCAGATTTGCATGCATTATAGAATTATAATTGCATATGAGGACGCTTTGGCTGCAGTTAAAAATCTGAAATAGACTGATAGACATGAAATCTCATGCTAGAAAGAGCCAGTCAGTCTCAAAAGGATTCCTACTGGATTCCTTTATGTATTTTAAATCAGAAAAGTCCCATGTTCCTGTTGGCAATGGGATAGATCCAGATTGAATTGTACTTAGAGCAGCCTACCCGAAATAAATGGGAATTCAGTGAGTCATGACAGCACACTCCAACAGCTATTATGGCTTGGGGATTTTGGGATTTGTAGTCCAAAACACATTCCCCAAAAGTTCAATTTGCTCTGGTTTTTTCTTGAGGATCATTTGGGAATTATGTTCTCTGTTTGCCACAACAGATTGTAACAACCTAAACCACACATATGTGGCCAGAAAACGGTCTCTTCTCTCCCAATCTTGAGGTTCAAACCCCTATTCTCCCCACTCCCAACTTACTTCTCGTTGTTTGCGACGTTCTTCGTCCTTCTTTGGGTCAGGCACTGGAATATCTAGTACAACCCGAAGCGAAATGAGATCCGAAACACTCAGTTCAGGGGCCTAAAAAATAAGAGAGGAATATCAATTCTTGCTTCTCACTATCACTCCTAACCTTAATTATAATCCATCATAATCCTGGCATGGGGATTCGCTCTCTTTTTAAGATCTTAGGCCAAGGTGGACAGCCATTTTTCCAGGCAAGGGCCACATTTGCTTGGGGTTAATCTGTTGGGGAGAGAGTCAAGGTGATGTAATGATTTGAGCATTGAATTACGAGTCTGGAGAACAGGGTTCAAATCCCGGCTCGGACAGGGAAACCCACTGAGTGACCTTGGGTCACACACTCTCAGCCTCAAAGGATGGGCATGGCAAAAAACTTGCCAAGAAAACCCCATGATAGATTCACCATAGGATCTCCAAAAGTTGGAAAGGACTTGAAGACACACAGCAACAGCTTAGTACCAGAGATGATCACATTCCCAAACCTTTATCGAAATTTCAATTGTGTTGTTTTCATCCAACACAATCATGTGTGTTTAAACTCTTCTGGCTTTATACATCTATAGCTCTGTTAAGTTCCATTTTAGTTCCCCCCCAAATCCTGAATTCATCATTCACAAATCTGGGCTTATTTGACTGATACGAGTAAAGAATTAAAGAATGTTTTGTGCTTTCAACAACTGAAATAATGGCATCCTAAAATGCAATGGTTTGAGCACTGGACTATGACTCTGGAGATCAGGTTTGAAACCCAGTTCGCCACAGAAGCCCACCTGGGCAAATCACACTCTCTCAACCTCAGATGGCAATGGCAAATCCCCTCCGAAGAAAATTGTCAAGAAAATCCTGCAATAAGTTCAATTTAGGGTGGCCAGAAATTGGAAACAACTTGAAAGCACACAACAACAAAATGACAATAACCCATTCCAACACCCACAAGGCAGGATTACCTTCAGAAGAGCACTGAGTTCCACAATTTTTTCCGGGAAACGAGTAGAGACAAGTTCTTCAGCCTGCGGAAATATTTGGGCAAAAGGGTGTCAATAGGCAAGATAAATATTAAAACTCAAAACTTTAAGAATGGTGGGGAGAAACAGATTTATATTTTCATGATTGTCAAGTAAACTGACTACCCAAAACTAACCAAAGTACAAGTTGCATCTCCCTTATTCAAAATCCTTTGGGCCAGAAGTGTTCTGGGTTTTTTGGGATTTTGCCAAGATAATGAGATATCTTGGCAATGGGATCCAAATCTAAATACAAAATTTGTGTATGTTTCATATGCACTTTATACACATAGCCTGAAGTTAATTTTATACATATTTTAAAAATAATTTTCTGCATGAAACAAAGTTTGTGGAGCATCAGAAAACAAAGGTATTACTATCTCAGCCACCCATGGGACCCAAAACTGAACACAAAATATATGTTTCATATACACTTTACGCACATAGCCTGAAGGTAATTTTACACAATATTTTTAATAATATGAAACAAAGTTTGTGTACACTGAACCACCAGAAAGCAAAGTTTTCACTCCCTCAGCCATCCATGAAAATCATTTTGATTTTTGAATATTTTGGAATTCCAGATAACCTGAACTGCTTTACAGTGGAAATCGAATATTTTGGCAACCTTCAGATCTGGAGATAAGAAAAACTAATCTCTGCTTACTCAAAAGGAATTTGTATAGTTCTGTGGTGAAAGAATAGCAATCCAAAACTGAAAGTTTACCACCATCATCTCAGAGAATAAAAATCTAAAAAGAAAGTGTCTAGAACTTGCAAACTTTGAAATTCAAATCTGGTCCTTTAATTCCAAATGTGTAGAGGACGGTCTGCAGAAAATACACTCTGCATGTGTTCAGATGCTACGTTTACATTGTGGGTCAGAAATAATGCAGTTTGACACCACTTTCACTCCCTTGGCTCCATCCTACAGAATCCTGGGATCTGTTGTTTTGTGAGGCGTGAGCACTCTTTGGCAGAGAAGGCTCAAGACCGTGAAAAACTACAAATCCCAGGATCCAATTGGATGGAGCTGCAGTACCTTCAGTGGTGTCAAACAGCATTCTTTCTACATTGTAGACGCATTCTGCAAGACACCAAAATACAGTCCTGGGTTGAAACCCCATTGCAGAAATAATCCAGTTTGAGAATGCTTTAACTGCCTTGGTTCAGTGCTAGGGAATTCTGAGAGCTGTAGTTTTGTGAGACATCTAGCCTTCTCTCTCAGAGAACTCTGGTGCCACAATAGACTACAATTCCCAAGTTTCCCTAGCACTGAGCCAGGGCAGTTAAAGTAGTCTCAAACTGGATTACTTCTGCGCTGTGTTTTGGACCATTGTCTTCTTTCCATCTCTAATGGCCGAGGACATTAAAGTACCGTACTGTAACCATATCGATGGCAAAATCCAATATATTGGAGGAGTGAGATAAAGAAGAGAAAAATAATTCTTTTTTCCCCCCCCTGAAAAAAAAACCGCCTCTCACCTGAGCACAGAGGTTGTCCCTGAAGGCCTTCACCTGGAAAATGGAAAGAGAGTGAAAGAAAGAGAAATATGAAACTATTGGAGGCAGGGAGGGATGATATCTGGGCATCCTGCCAGGGCCTTTCTGGTGTGGTGACACCCGATCCCATCGTCCACCTGTCAGACGAGCCTATCAGTTTGCAATTTGACAAGGCCACAGAATAGGGTGCCAGGGTCCTAGGTGTCCCCCGAAATACCCAAAATCTCTGCACCCAGAGACATAGGGGTTGGAGTAACACCATCTTTCTTCCAGTACTCCTTTTCCTATTGAACTTCTCTCCTTTTCTCTCTCTTTGCTTCTAAACAGGTGGCAGATAGTTAACTGGTAAAGTTCCCCCAGGCCCACAATGGAGTATCACAGTTGGATTTCTGCCTGCTAGCCAGTGTGGTGTAGGGCTTTGAGTGCTGGACTATGACTCCAGAGACCAGGGTTCGAAACCTGTGGAAAATCCACTGGGTAACCTTGGGTGAGTCACACTCTCTTAGCCTCAGAGGAAGGCAGTGGCAAACCATCTCCTGCCAAGAAAACCCGTGACACAGTTACCTTAGGGCTGCCATAAATCAGAAAAGACTTGAAGACACACAATAACAACACCAACATGTAGAAGAGGAACCCAGTGTGGTGGTTCGAACACTCTGGAGATCAGGATTCGAATCCTGGCTCAGCCATGGAAACCCACTGGGTGACCCTGGGCAGGTCACTCTCTCTCAGCCTCTGAGAATGGCAATGGCAAACCCCTTCTGAAGAAACTTGCCAAGAAAACTCTATGAAAAGTTCTTCTTAGGGTTCGTCATAAGTCAGAAATGACTTGAAGGCGCACACCAACAACAAGGTCACCCAAACCCATAAAGGGAGTGTTACTATAGGAATGGTGTAGGGCTTTGAGTGCTGGATTATGACCCTAGAGACCTGGATTCGAATCCCTATGGAAACCCACTTGGGCGATCTTGGGCAAGTCATACTCTCTCAGCCTTGGGTTAAGGCAATGGCAAACCTCCTCTGAACAAATTTTGCCAAGAAAACCCCTCAGTAGGGTCACCATAAGTCACAAATTACTTGAAGGCACTCAACAACAACAACTTGTAAAAGAGAGATCAGTGTGGTGTTGTGGTTTGAGCACTAGGCTATGATTCTGGAGGCCAGGGTTCGAATCCTGGCTCAGCCATGGAAACCCACACAGTGACTTTAAACAAGTCACACTCTCTCAGCCTCAGAGGCTGTCAATGACAAAAACCCCTCTGAAGAAACTGGCCAAGAAAACCCTATGATAGGGTTGCCATAAGTCAAAAACAACCTGAAATCACAAAACAATAACAACATATAGAAGAGGGAGCCAGTGTGGAGGTTTGAGCAATGAGTTACAACTCTGGAGACTCAGTAGAGTTTGAATTGTGGCTCAGCAGCCATGGACACCCACCTTGGGCAAGTCACACTCTCTCAGCCTCAGAGGATGTCAATGGCAAAAACCCCTCTGAAGAAACTTGCTAAGAAAACTCCATGATCAGTTTCTCTTAGGGTCACCAAAAGTTGGAAATGACTTGAAGGCACACACAACAACATGGAAACCTACTAAGTGACCCTGGGCAAATCACACTGTCTCAGCCTCAGAGGATACAACAACAACAACAACAACAACAACAACCAGCAGAAGAATCATCCTCTCTTCGTTGAATCTAAAGGATAAAAACGATACAGGTGTAATATTTTGATAGAGCACAAGGGTCTTAATGTCAGGAGAACAGGGGAAGTAAAATGAGAAATTATTAATTGTGGAACTTTATGATATACAACCTTGAAATGAGTCAATTAATCTAGAATTTTATATATGTAGGAGAATTATGAAATGAGGTCTGAAAGCTTGTAAATTTGGAAAATTGAGAGGATGATTCATATATATATATATATA